ATTGGTCTAGTGGAGGTAATTGGCAGTAGGCGGTCTCTCAAGTATCCAAGTCCAATACCATGAAGGGCTTTGTAGGTGACGACAAGCACCTTGAAGCATACCCGGAGACCAACAGGCAGCCAGTGCAGCTCGCGGAGGATAGGTGTTACGTGGGTGAAACGAGGCACACCCACGATCGCTCGCGCGGCTGCATTCTGGACAAGCTGAAGTCGCCGAATACTCTTCAAGGGCAGCCCCATGTAGAGCACAAATTGCTTGCTTTGTGTTGTGCGAGCACGGCCTCTGACTCTCCACACCTCATCTCCCCCGCTGTTTCCCCAGCGTTTCACTGGCGTCGCCGGTCATTGGCGCCTACCCCAGGTGCACGCATCCAAGGACAGGGTTGCGTGCTTCTCTATCAGTCTTATTGTCATGGCTGCCATTCTGCTAAGCTACGCATCGCAAGCTGACAGCCTGACATTAGTAACGGGAATTTTAGCAGTGGGGTAGGGATGCCCGGAGGGAACCAAGAGGAATCGAAACCAAACCATCCCATCCCGGGGGACTCAAGAAGACACCAAAGGAAAGTGGAGGGATTGTTTCCCAAAGAATGTATTAACACATACTGTATTTTTCAGAGTATAAGATGCACCTTTTTTCTTCAAAAAAGAGACTGAAAATATGGGTGCGTCTTATACACTGAATACAGCATTTTTGCCTCCCAAAACCCTACCCCCTTCACCAAAACGGCCATGCATAGCTTGTAGGAAGCTTTCAGAGAGCTCCTGGGGGCTGGGTGGGCAGAAATGGGTAAAAAACGGGCCTTTTTTTTGCTCAATTTTGCCCTCCCAGCCCCCAGGAGCACTCTATAAGCTTCATAAAGGCTATCCATGTCCTTTTTTTGATTAAAAAACAGGCCGTTTTTTCTTGTCCCCGTCCCCCCCTCTACAAGCCTCCTAAGGGCTATTCATGCCCTTTTGGGGGGGGGGGGAAACGGGCCTGTTTTTGCGAAAAACAGGCCATTTTTGGGAGGTTTCCAGAGTTCAAAACCTTTTTTTAATTTGCCTCTTCAAAACTTTGGTGCGTCTTATGCTCCAGAAAATACGGTAATTGTACATTGACTGATAACCAGGCAGGTGGCTGTGGAAAAAGATACAAAATGTTAATTTGCATGTGAAAATCTCAGATCCAGCTTTGCTGCTTCTTTAACCACTTTGGCTTTAGTAAAGTAAATTTTTTTTGTCTACTTGTGGACGGGGAGTCTTTCTTTCCTAACTGACCAAGTAGGGACGGTTGACACTTATCCTGGATCATTTTTCCACTCTACCTCCTAGGCCCAACCGCTTGCTGATCCTCCATGGGTTTCTGGATGAAAACGTGCACTTTTTCCACACCAGTTTCTTGATCTCCCAACTAATCCGGGCTGGGAAACCGTATCAGCTACAGGTAGGTGAGAGAGCTGGAAATGAGGAGAGCACCGTCCCACCTGCTGGGAACAGAGGACCATTGCAGTTGGTAAGGTGCAGGTCCCTGCCAGTAGACGTTTCATGACCTGACTAGGTAACATCATCAGTGCCAGAGGGGAGTGGGGTTTGTGGAAAGGAGGAGGACTGTGGAATCCTTGGTGTTCTTTTGAGCTGGGTTGTTTTGTTGCAGACTCCATTAGGTAACATCATCAGTGCTAGAAGGGGGTGGAGTTTGCAGAAAGGAGGAGGGAGTAGGGGAGAAGAAGGACGAGTACATCAACGACTGCAGGGTCCTTTGTACTCCCTGTTTACGGGCTGGAACTTTCACATTCCCCTGAATAAATCTTGCTAAAGAAAACTTTGTAAAATTCGTGAGTGGGAAGGACAGTTACCAAAACGGACGCAGCTCTTTTGCATCGATCAGCCAAACATTAAGGTTTAAAAAGGACTGTGGAGGCATGAATAGATCCTGTTCCAGCTTTAAAATGGAGAAGATGCCTTTTTTGGACCAATGCATTAGCAAGAGCACTTGGACTTATATACCGCTTCACAGTGCTTTACAGCCTCTCTCTAAGCGGCTTACAGAGTCAGCCTCCTGCACCCAACAACTTGGTTCCTCATTTTACTGACCTCGGGAGGATGGAAGGCTGTCAACCTTGAGCCCGTCAGGATTGAACTGCTGGCAGTTGGCAGAGTCAACCTGCAATGCTGCATTCTAACCACTGTGGAGAGGGAGGGAGAGATATTGATTGTAGGTAGACGATAGGTAGGTAGCTAGATTGATAGACTGATAGAGCGATAGATAGGGTAACAATAGCAATAACAATACCAATTAGACTTATATACTGCTTCATACTGCTTTCCCGTCTTCTCTAAGCGGTTTACAGAGTCAGCCTATTGCCCCCAACAATCTGGGTCCTCATTTTACCCACCTCGGAAGGATGGAAGGCTGAGTCAACCTTGAGCCAATCAGGATTGAATTGCTGGCAGTGAGCAGAGTCAACCTTCAATACTGTATCCTAACCACTGCGCCACCACAGCTCTGTGCCATTATACCTCTGATCTATCCACCATTGGCCTGCATCTCCTTGCCTCCGGAACTTACTCTGGAGTCGAAGTCCACGCACATCGCAGAATGCAGTATTGCACGTGAATTCTGCCGACTGCCAGGAGTTCGATCCTGACCGGCTCGAGGTTGACTCAGCCTTCCGTCCTTCTGAGGCCGGCAAAATGAGGACCCAGATTGTTAGAGGGCATTTGCTGACTCTGTAAACCTGCTTAGAGAGGGCTGTAAAGCACTGTGAAGTGGTATATAAGTCTTAAGTGCTATTGTTAAGTGCTATCCCAGGCGAGGAGATTTTAGGATCCCAGCGGCTGGAGAAGAGATCAGTTCCAACATGGGGCAACCTGTGCTAGATAGATGGATTAAAGGGGCTGAGGTGATGAGGACAGAACAGAGGGTAGGGATTTCTCCCTGTGGCCTTAGAAGCAGGGGAGGGATTGAAAAATGTTAGCAACTGGTTCTCTGCCCAGTTGATGGATGGGTGTGGCCATGGGGGAATGGCCTAATCAGCTTCGTTTCCTTCACCACAGCGGGGGGGGGGCCCTCATTTTCGCCCTCCTAAGCCTTCGAAGACTTTCCTTGAGCCTCTGGGAGGGCTAAAACGGCCTCCCCCGGACTCCATAGGCCCCCCGGAGGCTGGAAATGAATCAGTTTCTGTACTTCTGGTACTTCCAATAGGCCTGTTTTCCCCCCTCCCTAGGCTCTGGAAGCTGTCTTCAAGCCTCCGGGGGGCAAAAATAGCCTCTGCTGGGCTCCAGGCCCATTTTTTGCCCTTCTAGAGCCTCCATGCAGGCCCGGCACTTAACTGGCATCCAAAAGAGGCCGCATGGAGACTCCTGGGAGTGGAGGGGCAAGGTGGGCATGGCCAGCCAGTCCTTGCAACTACCGGTTCGGCGAACCAGATTAAAATTAACATCCGGTTCGCCCAAACCGGCTGAATCCCACCCCTGCTTAGTAGTTCCCCCATACTTACAGTTAGGTCCAAGGGGAACCCCCGCCCCCCTGAAAGGCTGTTCTGAAAGGCAAGACTCTTAACCCCGTTCTCTTCCCTCCCTTTGTCCCGCAGATCTATCCAAACGAACGACACAGTATTCGTTGCCCTGAGTCCGGGGAGCACTACGAAATCACGCTGCTGCACTTTCTTCAAGAATACCTCTGAGAGGGCGGATGGGCCCTCCCCCTCCTGCTCCCCCCCCCCAACTTCTGCCGTGGACGCCTACATGGTTCCCGCGCTCTGCTCCTGCTGCTTCTTTTCAGCCACGGGCAGCCTTCGAACGCAGAGCACAAAAACCCGCCTCGGGGGGAGGGGGGCACACCTCTCCTTGCGCTGGGCCCCAGGGAGGCCCTCCTGCTTTCCAGATGGCGCAACTCTAACTTTTGTTTTTTCCAGCCTCTCTTAGGGCTTTTTCTTATTCTGTCCCACCTAACACTCCCCCCCCCAAACCCATATCCCCCTCCCCAAGTATTTGCTGCTACTTTCTTTGTGCTGGAAATAAAAGACGGGCAGTTCCCCCACCCCCCATCCCACCTCGCCTCTTCGACTGTCTGTCTGTCTACCTGCTAGAGTTCTGTGTGTGTCTCCCTGTCCCCCTCCCCCCGCCCATCTTCCACCTTGTTGCTGGCTTGGCTCCCCCCACTCCCCTGCCTCGGATGCTGGACGAGACCCTTTTCCTGACTTTAGATGGGCTCAGAGCGCAAGGAAAAAAAAGAGGAAGGCAGAGGAAACTGAGAGGGAAAGAGGGAAATTGACTGGAACGGGGACTCAGGGAGGGGGATTGTAAGGGGGCTCTATTTATAAGCATGTGGTGCTGCTGTCTTGGATCTCCCCCCCAACTCACCCTTCTCTCCCCCACCCCCTTCCCCAGCATGTTTGAAAGGTGCGAGCCACCCTTGTTTACCTATCCGGAAACCAAGCATAACGGTGGCCGAGTTTGGTTTGGGATTTTATTTTATTTTATTTCTTTTTTTCTTTTAACAAAATTAGCTTTTCTTTAGCCTTGTGAGATTATTTATGGAAGTCTTTTTCTCTCCCTTTCCCCCCCCCCCCTTTTTTTTTTTTTCTGGTTACGTCCTAATCTCCCTCCTGTCCTGTCTCCACATCTTGCCATTGAGGGAGGGGCCCCGGTAAAAGTTAAGGCATGGCTTCAGTTCTCTGCCGGTCAGCGACTGTAATTTTTTGGTCTCTCTCCTCCCTCCCCTCCCCTCCCAACGGATGTTGCTTGTTCGTTCTCTTTGCGGTAGCACTCTGCCCTCCGTCTCCCCACTCAGCATAAACAGCAATTCCGGAGGAGACCCGGGAAGAAGAAGGGGGGGGGGTGTTGTCTCACGCGTCGCCCCTTTTGGAGAAACTCTCAGCCGGCTTGCTCCTGTCTCCCCTCTCCCGCCGCCGCCGCCCCCACTCCTGGCCTGACCGTCGGCTCCTGCTTCCCTCTGGGTGGGGTGAAATGGAAAGCGAAAAGGAAACGTCCGACCTGTCCACGAAACGAGAAAAAGTCAAAGGAAATTCGAACCACAC